AGAATATAAGAAAATTTGAATAAAATACGCGACGAGAATTGGGGAGAAGCATAAGTTAAACGCGTAAAAATATTCAATAATAAACGAACTAGGGATGAAGCTATTATTTCAATACGCGATGCACTGACTCTAGTATTTACTAAAATTCAAAAATTCTCGTATAAATTCCGAAAATAGATTATTAATTACGGTAAACTACTGAGACGGTTTAATTAAGGGTGGGCATGGTGCTGCTTTAGTTTGAAATGATTTATAAACACATAATTAACAGAGGAAAAACCGTGAAACGGCAAAACGTCTACATTCTAATTGTTATAACATGTAAACAGAACTTTAAATTTAGTGTAAACAGAAAAAATATATAATACAATTTATTTCACGGTATTGCAACAAATAAACGTTGAATCAATATTTAATTCGTATAAAAACAATTATTTAACGTAATAATTTTACCTTCACTATGGCTATTTTTAATCTACGACCACAGGTCAACCTGATTTCTAATCCTTACGAACTTTAAATTCAGTCTAAACTGAGAAAATATATAATACAATTTATTTCACGGTATTGCAACAAACAAACGTTGAATAGATTCTTAATTCGTATAGAAACATTTATTTAAAATAATAATTTCACCTTCACTATGGCTATTTTAAATTTACGACCAAGGGTCAACCTGATTTTTAATCCTCCGAACTTGATTTCACAACGAGAAAGTAATAAGATCGTTGAAACGTACTTATTTGTCAAAGAAACTTGCAAAAATGTATAAATAATAATATGTAATGTTTTAACAAATTTTTGGAAGTATAAATTAATAATAAAATTGTGAAAATTAATAAATTATACGTTATTATAACATTAATAGAATTATGACTAAACCGAAGTTCGAAGTCGAGTATTTAAAGTCTGATATTACGTGCCTAGCGAGTGCCGGTAATTGTTAAAATTTGTTTAATAATTAGTAATAGAAATTCTAATTGATTCTAATGTATACAAGTGTTACAAGAAGGCTGAGTGTGTACAGGGTGGACATAGACTAGCTAGTAGCCCCCGACCACTCTATTCACATCTCAGAACCTTCAGGTCAAAATACGCCGCGAAGTGTCTAGGGCCCAGTATAAAGGGTAAATGATTTCGCGGGACATCGGCGGGTCCTTATATACCTGCGGTACCCTCTCCCCAAAGTCATTAGCAAAATCGTCGGTTAGGTCAGGCGGGAAATTTTCGCGGGAGATTTTCGCGGGAGATTTCCGATATCGTAACACGGTATAATTTATCAATTTTCACAATTTTATTAAAAATTTATACTTCCGACAATTTGTTATAACATTGCATATAACAATTTATACGTTTTTACAATATTCTTCAATGGAAACATAGGTTTTAGCGTTCTCGTTACTTACTCGTGGTTAAATTAATTTCGTAGGGATTAAAAATCAGGTTGACCTGTGGTCGTAGATTAAAAATAACCATAGTACAGCTAAATTTATCGTGTTAAATAATTCTTCTTACACGAATGAAAAATGTATTCAACGTTTGCTTGTTACAATACCATGAAATAAAT